CGCAGGTGTGGCCGAGGTCATCGTTTTGGTTGGGGGCCGGCAGATGGTGGGGATGACCCAGCGCTCACTGGTGGCTGTCACCTGCTGGAATCCACAGAACAACAAGTGGTACCCCCTGGCCTCGCTGCCTTTCTATGACCGAGAGTTCTTCAGTGTAGTGAGTGCCGGGGACAACATCTACCTCTCAGGTGAGGCTCCCAAGGGCTGGGCAGGACCTGGGACGGGTTTCCCAAAGGGACCTCTCTCTGCCTGACCACACACCGGGCCGAGGACGGAAGGCCGAGGGCCCAGAGCGTCTATCTGGTTGGCAGAGGAAGCCTCCCCCCCTGCCTCTGTCCGTGGAGCTGGGCGTCCTGTCCTCGGGCCCTTCTTCAGCCCCCCGCCTGCTCTTTGTACCCCCCCCATACTGTCCACAGGTGGTATGGAATCAGGGGTGACGCTGGCGGATGTCTGGTGCTACATGTCCCTGTTGGATAACTGGAACCTGGTCTCCAGAATGACTGTCCCTCGCTGCCGCCACAACAGTCTCGTCTATGATGGGAAGATTTACACGCTCGGGGGACTTGGAGTGGCAGGCAATGTGGACCACGTGGAGAGGTAAGGCAGCCACAGTCCCTGAGCCGGTGGCACCTCTCCAAGTCGCTCAACCCTCACATCACATCACGCCTCCCCCTCCAACACCTACCTGACGCCAGTGGCCCACAGACGGGCCCATTCCAAGCTCATAGTGCGTAGTAAAAGGGGACACAAGAGGTGAGTCACGAGAGAGGACATTCTTGTCAACATCCATTCAGGTATAACAGGTATAGCCCAAGGTCCAATCATGGAAGGACATGAGTGAGCTTGGCTAGCGGGACACAGTAGATTGCAAGTACCAGCCCAGAGACCTCTCAGAAATCAGAAGAAAAGCTGGAATCCATGTCCCCACTATGGGCCATGCCAGTGGTTGTACCACTTTGTTCCTGCCAAGCAAGGGGTGCACGTATCCTTCCTGCCCCCCACACATGCCAGGGAAATTGGTAGGAACGCAGGGAAGAGACACCACCCACCAACTAAGCAATGTAAGGGCACAGTCTGGCTAGCCCTCTAGTTCTCCCGAGGAAAACTATGAGCCAGTGAGCTCCAGATCCGAGGTTAGCCTGTCCTTTGTTACAAGTCTCAGGCTGTCTCCCCACCCCGACCCCGGCCAGGCTGTTGAGGATGTGGTGTAAGTCAGGCATAGGCCTGAGGGCCAGAGGCTGGAGGCGGATACTGCCCTAGGGGAAAATGCCAAGATCCTTTCCTGCTCTGAGCCAGGGAGACAGCTCTCATCAGAGAATGGGCAGATCACCTAGAAAGAGATGCTTGAGACCTGTTTGAGAGGACCGTTAGTTAGCACAAGACCACCTCAGTCTTGCTTCAGAAGAAACTGGTGCCCCAGAGAATGATACACGAAGCTGACCCCCAGCCTCGGGTAACAGCCCCACTTACAATCAGTAAAATCATAACTCACTCTTTCCCTTACCATGGCTCACACCGTTAGCTGCCACCAGAAAGCAGACTTTGCAATGTGACATCCTTCTGCCGGTGAAGCCACACATACCCCTCAATTTGAATTTTTTCTTCCCCCTGGGTGGCTAATTGGACACTTGATGAATGCTCCAGCAAGGACGGGTTTCAGAGGGAGACAGGTTCTGAATGTTCACTGTGGGCTTTTAAGTCCCCCAAGTGGAGGCAGAGACGGCTTGGTAACAACATTTAATTGTCATATTGATTTGATGATAATGGGAAATCCCCGGGTGATTATGAGCATATTAATACTGTGCTTGGACTCAAACCAGCCCTAACACCGGGGGGGGGGGGTCTTCAGCATGACCTGCTGCACGTCCAGGTGGACCCCTACGCTCCCCCAGAAGCATCAGCTTCCAGTCATTTGTCAGCCAATAATAAACACACGAGCAAGGCGACATTTTCCACGTAGGAGTCCGCCGCGCCGGATGTCATCCTGCTTTGCTTCCGTCAGCTATTTTTAATCTCCTAAAATGCTGATTACTCGTTTTGCAAAGTTCTACTTGTTGATAAATACAGGGATTTGTTGAAAGATCAAACGCACTGATGGAGAGAGAGAGAGAGAGAGAGAGAGAGAGAGAGAGAGAGAGAGAGAGAGAGAGAAGCTCCCATCCTCTTTTCTTGGGCCCTGAAGCAATTCTCCAAGGTCCCAGGGGGCTACTGCCTATACTGGCCCTTCTCTAAGGAGCTCAGCCTTCCAGGTAGCTGGAAAATAAATGTGGGCGCCGGGCACCTGAGACTTAAGTCCACCCCACCCCCGACCCCCGGTGGCCCACTGGATGGAAGAGGAGAAGCTGAGGGACCCTGAGTGCTCCCTCGGCCCATCATCTGTGCTTGTAAGCTAGGACAAAGGCTAGAAGCCCCTAGGTAGTACCCATGCAAGGGGGTAGAGCATGTAGGGGAAGAGGCACCCAGTCGCTACCCCAGGAGCAGACCCCCCCTTTGGGTAAGTCAGTCTCTGTGCCACACGGCAGCGGTGATAACAATTCAGGGTGACAGGAAGGTCAGTGTAATGGGGACAGGCGTGAGGGTGCTTTGTTCCACGGCAAGCACTAATGGTACAAATGGCTATTATATTGATAATGAATGAGATATACGGTGTATTATAATTATATTACATTACTGTGTTACAGGAATAGAGCAAGATTACATAATTATAGATTAAAACAACAGCACCATAGACAAACCTGTATTATATCATTATATAAATAACTGGGTCTAATATTTTACAGCAATATATTGCAGGAGCTGTGGTTACCGCATAAATGATAGCGGAACGCCTCACTCAGCTAGGTCATTTGCATGTCATTAGCATATCCTTCTTACGCAGGAAGCTGACAGATTGAGCTGACGGGAGGGCTCATGGCTTGGCAATCAGCCACCTGGAATAACAAACTCTCAGGAAATTTGTGTTTGGCGGAATGTGTCATTATGCCGAAAGACTGAGGGCTAACAACCACATAATCTTTCTCATCCCCCAGCTCTTTCTGTGGGGGCTCTTTGGCTTGCTGCCATATTGGCTTAAAAAAAAAAAAAAAAAAGGTATCTGAACTCTGACTCTACCCCAAAAAGACACTTACTCCATTACGTATTAGCTATATATCATCCATCTACAACTGAATAGCATCAGCCCTTGCTGCCCCCATAGAGACTTCGGCATATCCAAGTCCAGAAGTGGATATCACTTGGCTGTCCCTTCCCCACACACTCAAGAACCAGAAACACAGTCCACATAAGACCCTCTTCCCAGAGCACCCATCTCTGAGCTAATGATGGCTCTTGTCCAAAGGAGGCTCATAGGGGAAGCATGGGAGACGTGTGCTGGTCATAGCCATGTGCTAACCAAAATCTCTGGTGTCACAGTGAGCAAACTTGGGCCCATGCTTTGGGTGCAGACACATATGGAGTGAGGAGCCACAGAGGTACCCTGCTGGTAGGTCTACAGTAAATGTTGGGGCAGCTACAGTTAAGCAGGAGCATTGAGGGCAGCTAGGTCCTTGGAACCTTGGCCAGCCTGCTTAGTTCCGGTTCTGCTCATCCCAGCAGCTGTTTCCTGCCTCCTTGGCCTCCACGTGTCTAGACCTCTCCTCTCTCTTTGCTACTTCATCCTGCACTGTATGTGAAGCAGATCTGTCCAGCTTTGCCTTCTCCTCCCCGTCTCCCCGGGGCTGGCAAGGAAAGTCCTAGCATCCTACCGTGGTTCTGCTACACACTGGAGACTCAAGCCTCCAGCCAGCCCTACATGCAGCAAGGCACTCTTAGGGTCTGCCTTACCAGCCATTTCCTCTCAGAAGCAAGGGCTCTCCTCTCTCCTCACAGCCCAGATTCCACACACAAGCTCCCTGACTACTTTTGGCGACCCCACCTCCTGCTTACCAGAGTAAAGGGGGCCCTGGATCGAGAACTCAAATGTTCTGGAGGTACAATAGTTGCTTAGAACCGCAGGCAGCCCGGAGTTTGATTCCCGCCGCTACATAAAGTAGGGATGGTTGTCCGCGTTTGTAAGGGCAGCGCTGGGGAGGTCTCAGAGGTGACACTCACCCTTGGCTGCTTAGGACGTACCAGATCAACCTGGATTCACAGATCCCTCTCTCAACAAAGACACCAAGCACCTTTTATGTCTCTCGGATAACGCCAGCCATGCGCCTGCAGCCGTGACGTCTTCGACTTCCATTTTCCTTTCTCCTCTGCCCCTGCACACAACTCCTTTTTAATTAGCATCTGCTCTATCTGCCAGAAGAAGCCTTACAGGACCAGGAGCCTTCAGTTCCTTTGTCACGTTCTGCAAGGCAAATAACAGATCCAAACCATGGGGTGAGCAAGTATTAGTGAAATTATCAAGGCCACTCCACGTAGTTAAAAGGGAGGTTTATTTTGTGGGGTAACCTACAAGTAAAGAGATAGGTTACAGGGTCCAGGAAAGGTATAGCGCAGTCCAGGGGTGTTCTCTGGAGAACTCTGCTCCGTCTACCTCCAGCGTCCAGGATCCAGGAACCACGAGAGCCGGCACATCTGGATCTCGGGTCCTAAAGGCTCCTCTCTCGGCCCCGCCTCGTAGGCGTGACAGTTACCAGCCACCTCAATGGGGGTAGTACTTCCAGGTCAAAGCTGGAACAGCTACCCACTACAAGGGAGGGCTCAGGGCTCTTCAGGGTTCCCTGTGATCCCCAGGTGTGGGTTCTCTCTCTCCTTCCTCTCAGTCTATCTTCCTCTCCCTCCCTTCCCCCTCCCTCAGTAGGATCGGTTACCCAGGCTAGCCTTAAACTCCCGGGGGGGGGGGGGTGCAGCATCCGAGCGCTGGGACTCAGTTGCCATCCTCTCTTGCTTATACTGCGAAGTCCCCCTGGTACCCACAGGGGGCTCGTTTCAGGATGCCTGTCCACCCATGTTTGTGAGCTCTTTAGTCCTCATATAAAATGGTATGGTATCTACATACAAATACCTGTGCACAGCCTGCTGCAGACTCGAGGTACTTCACATCATTTCACACACCACTTACACTACCTAACACAATGCAAGTGCTATGTAAAGAGCCGTTATCCTGTATTGCTTTTGGAAATAATGGAAAATCTGTACATGTTCGATACAGATACAGATTTTAGCTATTTCCTGTGTACAACTGCCTGCCTGCATCTATGGATGCAGAATGCACAGATTTGGAGTCTGGCTGTTTAGTTAACTTTTTGCTCATTCCCTTGGGCTTCATCCCATCTACACACACACACACACAAAAAAAAAAAAAATGTACTTAACACCCCCCCACCCCACCCCCACCGCCATTAAAACAAAATCAGTGTTGCACCAGAGTTCATTTCAATGGGCTCAGGAGAAGCGGCTGATAACATGTGGGGAACTGTGCGACCCAGTTATTATTAAAAATTAGAATTCCATCTTAACGCACAGATAATCCACTCCTCACAATTTATCACTTCCTGGCTAGCCACGGCATTTTCCTGCTCTCTATTTGGGGTTTTACATGACTGTTAGAGCTGCATGTGGGGGAGAGAGCGTCTAGACAGCCGTGACCACGGCACAGAGGCTCTTCTCCTGGACTCCCACATCCTGCTGATGGGGTCAGGCAGGTGCAAGGGCTTACATCACAGAAACCAGCAGGGTTTTTGGAGGATGTTTTTCTCAAGAGAGGTGGCTGGTAAACACTGGTGAGCATTCTACTTAACACCCCACCCACCCCCGCCATCCCCGGATGAGTCCATGTTCCTTTCTGAGAACCCCCATCTCTGCCCTCTTCGTGGCTCAGGTTCCTCAGAAGTCTGCGTCTGCCATCACCCAGTCTCTGTCTCCAATGTACTTCCGCCCTCTTCCACTCCGACACACAATGCCTTGTGTGCATCTCTTTTCACACCATGACCTGCTCAAGACTTCATGCCTTAACCCCAACCCCCAACCCCATCCCCACGTGAGGTCCTCTGTCTTCTAGGCAGAGTTGCTGACTGACATTGACTGCCCTCGAAGAGAGTGCTTCTCTACCCCTCATAGCTGACCCCCCCCCCAACATGTCCTCAGCCTCAGGACCACCTGGACTCCCCAGGACACTCCTTAGCTCTCATGTCCATCTTGTGCTGGTGACCCCCAAAGCGAACAATTCAGCCCAGATCTCCATGCCCAGCTGTCTGCTGCACAGCGCCGACATGTACCCACAGACACCGATTACCATTGGACTCTTCCCTCTCCTCTAGCCGCCTCCTCAGTTCTTCCAATACAGAGACACCCCCCCCCCAAAGCACCCCGTGTAGTCCGGTCCCTCTTAGCTACAACATCCCCACAGCCAACGTACCTCTCTCCTCACCCCTCCCATGCCCAGTCCCTCACACTCATCCTTTGACCCGTCACCTGTTTCTCACCAAGCGTCCAGCCTCCTCCCAGAAGTACCTTCCCCCCACCCTGCAGCCACAGTGGTCTCTCTTCTGTTTTGTGTTATTTCCCTGCTTAAACCTGCACGGCTTCCCCACCGCTCACTACACAAAGTCCCTAAGCTCGGCACACAAAAGGCCCTCTAATCTACCCTACCTCCAGCCATCCTGAACGACTCCAGATGTCCCTCAAATGCCACTGTGCCCACGTTTGTCCCCTCACCTTCAATTAGCTTCCTATCTGAGTCAGGGTTCCTGTGGCTGTGAAGAGACACCATGACCTCAGCACCTCCTACACCAGAAAACATTTCACTGGGGTGGCTCACGTTACAGTTCAGAGGTTAAGTCCATGGTCGTCATGGCAAGAAGCAAGGCAGCATGCAGGCAGACAGGGTGCTGGGGAAGATGCTGAGAATTCTTACACCCCAACCCGAAGGCAACAGGAAGTGGTCTAAGACGATGGGTGTGGCTTGAGCATATATAAGACCTCAAAGCCCGCCTCTACAGTGATGCACTTCCTCCGAGGCCACGCCCACTCCAACAAAGCCACGCCTACCCAGACAAAGCCACGCCCGCCCCAACAAAGCCACGCCTCCTAATAGTGCCACTCCCTTTGGGTCCATTTTTTTTTTTTCAAACATCAGGCTTTCCTGAACCCATTTGTGTCTGTCCAACCTATGCCTGATAGTGATAGCGCATTCACCCCTCCAGAACCAGCCCTGGGCTGCTCTCCAGAGAGGCTTAAGCGCACCTATGAGAGAAGGGGGGTGTACTGCTGTGTGCATGTTGGTCCCCTCGCTCATCATCACGCCACACATCCTTCACGATCATTGGATTTTGCATGTTTGATGTGACTGTCCTCCCCACTGGGCCAGCAGCTTCTTGGAGGCAGAAATCATCTGGGTACACAGGGATGCTCACTATGTAAGCAAGGGCAGGATCTACACAGAGGTTAGCCAGGCAGCAAAAAGGCCCCACTGCAGCTCAAAAGGAGGCCTATAGAACCAGTTTGGAGCAAGGCCTGGGTTCCCTGTGCCAGCGATGCTGAAGGCAAAAAGCAGACGCTGGATTTCCCCCAGGTGCTGCTTCCCTGGGCTGTGGCCTGCATTGCACAAAGTCTGTCTCTTTCTCCTCTTCGCAGGTACGACACCATCACTAACCAATGGGAGGCGGTAGCCCCTCTGCCCAAGGCAGTGCACTCAGCCGCGGCCACCGTGTGTGGTGGCAAGGTCTACGTGTTTGGTGGGGTCAATGAGGCAGGCCGAGCCGCAGGCGTCCTTCAGTCCTACGTGCCACAGACCAACACGTGGAGCTTCATTGAGTCCCCAATGATCGGTAAGAATCTGGCATCTCCCCAGTCCAGCCCAGTGGCCCACCCCACCCCCGCCCTGCACAGTCCCACATCCCAGATAGAATCAGGCTATGCCCAGAGAGTCTGCAGACTCAGGTCTAGCGGTGGGTAGTAGGTAGCCCCAAAGCCCAAGTGCAGCCGGGATGCCAGTACGTCTAGATTCGGGCTGCTCCTGTCCCCCCAGCCTGTCCTCAGGGCAATCAGTGACATACTGGTGTTGGGAACGCCACTGGGAAAGAGAGAGAAGGGAGGCCAAGACCGCCTGCCCTGACCACCTGGTTCTGCCATCCTCACAGACAACAAGTATGCCCCCGCTGTCACCCTCAACGGCTTTGTCTTCATCCTGGGAGGATCGTACGCCCGAGCCACCACCATCTACGACCCAGAAAAGGGCAACATCAAGGCAGGCCCGAACATGAACCACTCTCGCCAGTTCTGCAGGTGAGGGGGTACCCGAGCCGGGGTTGGGGAGGTGTTGGGGCGGGGGCGGGGTGCATGGGCGGACCCACCGGAAGTGGGATTCCAAGGACTCACCGCCCTCCCCAAACCAAAACACAACTGCAAACCTGGAGCGGTGGCCTTCCTCACCCCACCCCCACCACCACCCCCACCACCCCAGAAATGGATGTCAGGGCTAGTGTACGGTATGGCACCCCTAAAAAACAGCTGTGATAGGATCCTGTGATAGCAGCTGGCCCAGGACCCCCCAAACAGTGCCTCCCTAGGACCTCATCTCACACTGGAAGAGACATCAAAATGGCACCCTCCCTTCAGTGAGAAGCCAGGCCAGCTCTCTCTCCCCCACCCCAGGGTGCCTTCCAGAGGCAGGTAGGGACAACTGGCCCTCCTCATGACGGGGAATGCTCACATGTGTGAGCCCCATGCTGGCCCAGGCCAAAAAAAAAAAAGACAAGATACTCAAAAGCTACTGACTTGCAAGCACATGGAGGAAGAAGAGGTAGAACACAGATCGGCTCCTAGCACCCTGACCCCAGGTCTGTGAGACACCAGTCCTTGCCCTTCTGGCCATCTCCTTTACCGTTCTAAGAGGAACAGGAATAGGGGGGGGGGGTGCGGCAGGGCCAGACACTCCACTCTTGGCAATGCCATAGCAGGTTCTTTCGAAGATTCCTTGTTGTCTGCGCAGAGGCAATGACTAAGTTTTCAGTAATGGGAACAGGAAGCATTTATTGAGCAACTATTGTTTGCATAGCTACCACAGAAGCTAACTCTAACTCCCAGGATGTTACTACAACTTGGATACGCAGCTCCCCCAGCCCTAGAAAATTCTATCGGCTCTGGTGTTCAGGCCAGAGAACTGCCAGGCTCCTGGTGGCGTTCTGGTTCCTCGGGTTTTGAACTATCCATCCCTCAGTACCACAACCGCAGTCACGGTCTGACTTTTCGGTCGCTGACAGTGACGTCTGGACTACTGATGGTGAGGAAGAGGCCCATGTTTCACCTGAGACGATGAGTCACAGGAAACACTGGGTACCAGGGGTTGGGTGGAAGCTGGCCTTTGTGAGAGAACCAGGGAGATGGCCGGCGATACAAACAGGACATGAAAGCCCAGAGCAGGGAGGAAGTAGAAAGGAGCACTAGGGAGGCCGCAGTGCCACATAAGGAATCTGGAGTCGAGATGTGTTCCAATGTGAGTCGAGTCTTGGAAAACTTCTGGGTCCATGTCTCAAGAAATAGTCAAGAAGAATCGGCCATTTGATGGAGTGATGAAGGAGAAGTCGAGGCTAGAAGCAACAGCGGAAAAGCACTAGGAAGTACAGGGCTGGAGAGACGCCTTAGTGGATAAGAGCACCTGTTGCTCTTCCAGAGGACCCGGGCTAGATTCCCAGCATCCACATGGAGGTTCACAAATACCTGTAATTCCACTTCCAGGGTATCCGATGGCCTCTGCAGACACCAGGCATGCATGCTGTGCACATACATACATGCAAGCAAAACACATAAAATGCAATGAACACACTTAATAAGGTACATTTAAAGAAATGCAGAAAAGGCAGGATACCGGGCTTTTGGGATAACAGGTCCCAGTCAGCGAGTGTCACTCAGGAAACAGGTCCAGGCAGAGCTGTTGGTCACCCTCAGAGCATGCTTGGCCCTTGAGTTACAGGTGGTAGCAACCCCGGTCACATGTGTTGAGGAAACAGGAAGAAAGTGGCACTCTTAGGTCCCTGGGCAGCGAGGCAGGGCCTCCCCATCGCAGGGCTGCTACTTGGTTAGATCTGACCCATCGTTCTGTCTCTTGGCATTTTGAGTCACATCCCCAACTCGGTGTGAACACTCAGAAGGCTCTGTATGCACAATAAGAAGAGGCCCAGGAAAGGCCCGGAGATGGGCAGGCACCTGTGTAAGAAGCGACCCCCTTTGCAGCTGTCCGTAGGTCAGTAAAGGCCCAGGGATGGGTAGGCATCTGTGTAAGAAGCGACCCCCTTGGCAGCCAGTCTGTCAGCAGAGCCGGCAGGAGGCGGCTAATGAAAACGGGCCTGTCTCCCCTCAGAACAGTACCTCAGACATCCCAAGTGCTCCTGTAGAAAAAAAATGTCCTTGCTGTTTTGTTTATTAGCCCAGGTTAGGTGGCAAAGAAGAGCGAGGAGACCCCACACTGCCTGTGCAAGAGGGTCTTACCCCTCCCCCCCCTTAACCAGGACAGTGTTGGGATTCTGTCCCCAGAACCACTATGGAAATTCCAGGCCTAACTCTCTGCCCGGCTTTTCCTCTCGTAGCGCTGTGGTGCTCGATGGTAAAATTTATGCAACCGGAGGCATCGTGAGCAGCGAGGGACCTGCCCTGGGCAACATGGAAGCCTATGAGCCCACAACCAACACATGGACCCTCCTACCCCACATGCCCTGTCCTGTGTTCAGACACGGCTGTGTCGTGATAAAGAAGTATATTCAAAGCGGCTGACGTCAGCAGAGCGCCCAGGACGAGCCTACGGGACAAGTCTGGTGAGGCACCATGCCCACACACCATGGTTATCCTTTCGACACCAATGAGAGGCCCACACAACACAATCAAGAAACTCACTGCGCGGACATTTCGAATATTCTCTACATTGAATGTAGAAAATCATCCTCGCCTTTTGGATGAAGTGGGGCACAGTGCTCCGGGCAGCAGGAACCTGGAACACGCAGAGGGAGCCAGGGATCGCTGGCCATCCAAGGCGCTTGCTCTCAACCCCGGGGCGGGCACTCGCTCTGCCCGGTGCAATACTTTCACATATTTTTCAACTGGGAGAGAAGCTGTTTGGTTTATTTTATTTTATTTTATTTTTCCTTCTTGCAGAGCAAGCTCAATCCCTAAACCACCATAGATCAGTTATCCTGTGACAATATTGAGCATCAGGCTCTTTGGGAATAAGGTCAAAGTGTCCTTATCACTTTGATTCCTACTTTTTGTTTCGTTTTTAACCAATCTACACGTTCAAGTGGCCGAGAGAAAAAAAAAAAAATGAAGGACGGGACCGTGCAGCACCAAGGCCTAGGAGGGGGCTGGTGGCCACCAGACAGGAGAGAGAGCCAGCTGCGTGTGCCCAGCCAGGGCTGGCAGCCCCAGGGATCGCTGGGAAGAACCGCCTGTCCTTCACGGGTTTTTCTAACCATGTTTTCGCTGCAAAAGGGACATGGTGGATGTGCTCGCTTTCTCTTAGCCAGAATGAATTATTTAGATTTCCAAGGCATTTTCTTGATACACAAAAGGCTATTTTTAAGTACCGAGAGGGGGAGGCCACCAGAGGGATAACACAGGGACTTCCCAAAGCTCTTTGTAGGTAGTGCCAGAGCCACGGGGCGGGGCACTCGCTCTCATTTTTCTATGTGTGCAGAATAGAGGATCTCTCCTGAGATGGGCCATGCCCCCACTTTATTTTTGGAAAAAGTTAACTCCCAGACAGCCCTGGAAGACCATGCCTCATGGAGGCATTGTCAGTGGGGCAAGGGTCTATCCTAGAAGAATATAGTTCTGGCTTCTGACACCAGTCCAGCTGTCCCTCCATGAGGTAAAGCTGAGGACCCAGGCCCAGCAAGGGAGGGAGGGGCGGGAGGGAGAAGAAATGTCTACAAAGCACAGGAGACTATTTTTGATATTTATAGCTATATATTCAAGGCACCTGCCACAAGAGCTCTCAGGATGGGGACAGCCTTCTTAGACGAGCCATGACAGCCACGGCCTGAGGGGCACGAGAACAACCATTCTTGTTGCCTTGTTGTAACAGTGACCCGAGAAAAGGGAAGCCAGGAAAGAGATCCCGACGAGGCTCAAAAGAGAAAGGCCCTTCCCATTAGTCCTTAGACCTTCAAACCTCACCCGGCCATCAGTTTCCATTCCAGGGCAGGAAGAAGGCCGCCACCGCCGCCGCCGTCGCCACCATGCTGTTTAGTTGAAGTTAGTACCAAATACACACCATTTTTCCTACCTGGGAAGTCCGCTCGCCGCCGCCGCCGCCGCCGCCGTCACTTCACGATAAGAACCGTTTGGCAGAGAGAGAGACAGGACACACTTTCCATCCTTCAGTATTGGACGACACAAAACCCCAGTCCTCACCGACCGGCATCTGCGTCCAGCATCCCAAGTGTGGCTCCCACCTGACAAAGATACCGAGCTTCGTTATGCAGTTTTTAATATTATTTATTATTTAAAAAAAAAAGTAATAAGCACAAAACTACATACCTTGTATGTCATTTAAAAAGTATTTATGTCAAACAGGGTGCAAGTGTGAACCCAAGGACTGGAGCACAAATTTCTAACTGCCTGGGGCAGGGCGAATGTGAGCATTGGTGTGCGTCTGCCTCCAAGGGAGGTGTTAGTGGTCAACAGGACTCCGCAGATGACACTGAAATTCTGTTTCTCTCCTCATCTATCACACTGGAGCAAAACTGGCTATTTCTGTGAATGATATAAAACAGGGTTCTCTGTAATGGTATTGTACATAGTATATGTTTATTGTTAAGTTGTTATATTATAATAAATATATTTATAGATCTAGACTCGGAAGCCGATGCAATGTCTTTGTGTGCCATGGTGTTCGCCTCAGGATCGCCACAGCCCTGTGCAAGCCTGTTACTCCTCTTGGTTACTGAGAGTATGTGTCCTCTTATAGACGTCCACGTAGGTTTGGATGATTGGGGAGGACCCTTTGCAAGAGGACAGAGGCGGATGCACGTAACCCGTGAAAGACAGTGGAAGGTCAAAGTTGAAAGGACTCACAGGCGCAATGGACTTGAGCTAGACTCTTCCTTATGATCTTCTCATCACAGCCATGCATCCTAAAGCTCCATAACTTGCTCCCCCCCCCTCCTCGCCTCCCCCCGCCCTCCACACCCCCCTTCACTCCTGCACTGGAGTCACTTTTATATGTTCTCAGTTCATCAGCCTAGCAGGAGATACAAGACACTTCCTCTGGGAAGAAAATCAAGTACGATTTCCATGCTAAGACCCAGGTAGGGTGGTCTTCCTGCTTCCTCCTTTATGCCTGAAGGGTTCTCTGGTCTGCCACACAGACACACTTGGCTATCCCCAGGACACCTAGGCAGGGTTTATTTAGCATGAAATGTGGAATGACTCTGTCCGGAAGGACGTTCCAACATAGTCACCCACATGAAGCCTCCATGGCCCTTAATCCCTAAATCTTACCAAGATCTAGTGTTTCCTTGAAAGCAAAACCCTAATAAGACTTGGAAGAGGAGGTGAGAAGAGGGATTCTCCTGAAAACTTGGCTGAAGCCTTGGGATGAGAGGACCATACATCTATCAAATAAATATTTCCCTAGGAACATCAATCCTGGAAGGAAGACTGGAGGCAATACGAAGGATGGCAATCATGAAGGGCTGAAATGATAACTTGTGATGAGAGCAGTATGTTAGCTCCATTCTTGTCTAGTCTTTTTTTTTTTTTAATCAAGGAAAATGTTCTTGTGGTCCATGAAGAGTTTCATGTGTTTTTTTTTACCTAACTCTGGTGGTAAACAGATTCCATTTTACCATAGAGAGATGGCTCTACCAGATCAGGAGACCCACCATGAGTACCATCAAGGTACAACCACCTGGCCTAACAAAGATAGTGAGAAGAACACTCCACGTGGTGTGTGGATTTTTTTTCTTAAGAACCTCAAAATAAGAGAGCAATCGAGAGAAAGATCTATTGCCTGTGTGATAAAGAGAATCTCAGTTAAAGGGACCAGGTTAATGCAATTGGAAAATGTTAAGTAGAAATAGGTGTTAGAACAAAAAAAAATTAATAGTAATAAAAAGGTGCTGGCAAACAGGATCAAAAAGTTAAAAATAAATGCTCAACACTGAAACTCACTATTAACTCCCTAAACCCACCTGTAGGGGGAGCTGTGCTGAGGAGGCGCATGGGTCCCTATAGAAGTACCGAGGGTTCTGCAGATGGACAGCAAGGAGGCAGGCACCAAGTATCAGGTTCCCAAGGAGCACTGAGTAAATCACTTCTAGACAGCCATAAAGAAATGACATGAACTCTAGGAAAACAACGCCAGCTATTCTAACAGGGTGTGTGAGGATGACTAGTACTTGTCTGTTGACACTCACGATGCGCTCGCCACCACGCTAAGCGTACAAAGCACTGGATCCTCGCAATTCAGGTATGAAAGACACAAAAACAAAGAAAATCCATACTCGTACAAGATTGTAGCTTAAGGTGTGCAGGGCCCCATGGCAATAGGATCAGGATCCATCCCCTAGTGCATGAGCTGGCATTTTGGAGTCCACTACCTGACAGACAGGACACCTTAGCGCTCAGCCTTGATGCAGGGGGAGGGGCTTGAATCTTCCTCAACTGAATGTACCAGGCTCTGCTGGCTCCCCATGGGAGGCCTTACCTTGGAGGAGGGAATGGGGAGGGGGTTGAAGGAAAGGCTGGTGGGCGGGAGGAGGGAAGAGGGGGGGATCTGTGGTTGGTATGTAAAATGAATAAAAAAATGTCTTTAAAAAATGTGCAGCTATGTGTGGAAGATATATATGCATGTGTATCAATGTACATAGAAGAACCCACTTTGCAAGACCACCCAGTACTGCTGAGTGCTAACAACTCTGAACCCAGGGTTCTTTTTCCTCCCCAGGCTACCTCAGAAAACCCCTACGTTCATACGAAACGACCAAGTGTGCAGCCCTATCATTGTACTCGTGGGACTGCGAGCATATATTCTCTCTTTTCAAGAATTTATACAAGCAATTACATATATACTTCTATAATAAAAACGTAGATATGCTATGCATATGGTTTTTTCCTCGCTTTTCTTTTCTTTTGCCTGCAGTGCCAGAGGATCACACCCAAGGCTGCATGTTAAGCAACCACACTCTGCCACTGTAAACCACGTCCCCAGCCCCTGTAAAGTGCTTCTGTGGCAGTGAGCGACAGAAAGTAGTGTCTCCCTGAGTTTCAACCTAAGAAATTCTTTGTGTGCATATTGTCGTTGGTATTTTACTCTTTTGAGGGGCCCCCCACCCAGCTCCCAAATAAATCACACACAGAGGCTTATTCTTACCTATTAATGCCCAGCCTTAGCTTGGCTTGTTTCTTGCCAGCTTTCTTTAACTAACATTATCCCGTCTACCTTTTGCATCTGGGCTATTTCCCATTCTCTTCTGTAAATCTTACTCTTACTCCACAGCTTGCTGCGTAGCTAGCCCCTGGAGTCCTCCTCCTTCTCTGGTTACTTCCTTTTTCCTCCCAGATTTCTTCTCCTATATAGTCTCTCTCCTGCCAGCCCTGCCTATTCCTTTCTCCTGCCTCACTATTGGCCGTTCAGCTCTTTATTAGACCATCAGGTGTGTTACACAGGCACAGTAACACAGCTTCACAGAGTTAAACAAATGCAACATGAACAAAAGTAACACACCTTAAAATATCCTACTACACATACGTGTGTGTTTGTGTGTGTGTGTGTGTGTGTGTGTGTGTGTGTGTGTGACCACCATAAGCAGTAAAGAAACCAGAAAGGATTCAAAATAAAGTATCTGAGAAAATTAAAACTAAGAAAACAGATTGCCACTTGTTAGTGCTAAACTCCAGAGTATATTACCAATATCCTGTGAAGGTCTTGCTTCCTCCTCCTCATTTTCCTCCTCTTCCTCCAGAACTAGAGATCAAACAAGCTTTACACATGGTGAGCAAGTACTCTAGGGCTACATCCCTAGTTCTTGTTCGTGTTCTCTCTCTCTCTCTCTCTCTCTCTCTCTCTCTCTCTCTCTCTCTCTCTCTCTCTCACTTTTTATTTTGAGACCAGTCTTAAGTTGCCAAAGCTGGCCTTGAACTTACAACCTCCTGAGTAGCTGCAGTTATAGGCCTACACCACTAGGCTATGATGTAAAGGTCTTTAGACCACAGTAACATGCTTACATGGAGCAGCTGCACACAGCATGGTCTCAACTGCCTCGGCAGCACAGGGTACCATTTCCATGCTTTATCAAGTAAAGGAAGTCATCGTCACAGAGATGATCAGAGGAAGTGAATGGAACATGAATTCAATTGTGACACAGCCCTGCAGAGGATCCTCAGGGAAGCCCACCAGGCTCTGAGATTTCAACAAGTCAGTCCATGGCCTGTCAGTGTCCAGGGACAGTTCAGTGAATTGAGAACCCTTGCTAAGCACATGGCTCCCCAAGGCAGCCCTTGCTTAGCTCTTGATTCCCAAACCAAGTCTCCTTCCTTTCAATCACCTGTGTTTAAATTAAAAAATGTTCACAGTGATTGTAGCGTTTCATTAAAGTACCACATTAAAACATAAAGGCATTCGATTGCATCCTTGTCTTGACATAAATATTTGTGTTAGCAGACAAAGTTACAGCCAACTCCAGTCATAAAATGTTGGGACTGTGGGATGAAAGCTCTCTAATAATCTACTTCTTTTGTTTCTGAGGTTGACTAAGTTCAGTAAATGTGGAAATCAGTATAGCTGACCAGTGATCTGGAATTTAACTGTGTGATAGGCAATTGCTTCCTTTTTTGTTTTGTTTTGTTTTGTTTTTTGAGACAGGGTTTCTCTGTGTAGTTTTGCTGCCTGTCCTGGAACTCACTCACTCTGCAGACTAGGCTGGCCTCGAACTCACAGAGATCCACCTGACTCTGCCCCCCAAGTGCTGGGATTACTGGCATCTGCTGCCAAGTCAAGCTCCTGTGTTTATTAAAATGCTAAAGAAAAAAATTGCAATTAATTTTCAAGTCTTTCTAAAAGAGCCTTAAGCTTTAAACAAAGTAACCATACAGTATTTAGAAATACTAAACTCCCATACTAACTGATTTTGCTTTTTTGCCACAATGAGAATATTACAAAAGGCTCTGTGCTATAATGGCCACTGAAACATGATGAGGGGCACTCGTGTGCTTTGATGGAGCCCAGAGTTTCTTGGGGCTGTGTTTTTCTCTGTGGCTTTTGGACTCCAACAATATATAAATTCAGAGCAACGATTACGGATTTACTGTTGCTTGAGAAATTAGAAGTTCAAGGGCACAATTAGGGTTTCTGTTGCTGTGAAGAGACACCATGACCACGGCAACTCTTATAAAGGAAAGCATTTCATTGAGGCCGGCTTACAGTTCAGAGGTTTAGTCCTTTATCGTCATGACAAGAAGCATGGCATCATGCAGGCAGACATGGTGCTGGAGAGGTAGCCGAGAGTTCTACATCTGGATACTCAGGCAGCAGGAAGAGACTGCCACACTGGCCTGGCTTGAGCATCTCAGACTTCCAAGCCCACCCCCTAGTGACACACTTCCTCCAACAAGACAAACCTACTCCAACAAGGCCACACCTCCTAATAGTGCCACACCCTATAGACCTATGGGGTACATTTTTATTCAAACTACCACAGGTATTTTGGAATTTAGATCAACTATATTAAGCAGTACCTCATTGAACATTTCTTTCATTATTATCTGAATCCACGATACCTGTGAAATCATGAACACCACACTTTGACTTTTTTTAAAGATTTATTTATTATGTATACAGAAGAGGGTGTCAGAT